AGAATAAATAAAACAACTGACCTGCATAATGAAAGAAATCAACCACTGAAATGGTTTCATATTGTAGCACTGATGGTAAATGCTGAAAGATGCAGACTTATGTTTGCTCCTATGACGTAAACAAGTACATTCAACATTTGTTCATTTTTCATGTACTCAACATAGATCAGCATTACACTCCAGCTTTTCAGCATAAAAAGGCCTTTCTGTCCACTGATGTATTCTATTAAATTAGTGCTGAGCTCAACTTAGAGAGAATTTTGTTTTGCAAAGTTTGACGTATATGCTCCAGATATCGCTTCAAAGGTGATTTGAGAGAGTTTGGATGAGATATTTCCCACTATTCTGTCATCATGTTGCTGATCCGTTCAGTACTGATCATGCTGTTCTCCTAGGGTCTTGATTTTTGCCACGTGATGGATACATATCGACCCGATTGTGCTGAGTTCTGAGCAGCTGGTATTAGATTACATTCTCTCACTGTCCTGGGAAATGCAAGGAGTTATATTTAGACATACAGAGGTGGTCATCTAGTTTGCCTGTGCAGAGCATCATCATGGAGGTGGATAACAAGGTCACATGACTACCAGTGACCAGACACTATTTCTGCTCTGAGAGATCCGTCTGCAACATATCAGGAGCAGTTTTGTATCTTTCAGGCACAGCTGAAAGAATAGGTTACTGCATTTATGCCAGAATGAATGATGACAAAACTATTGCATTTGTACTTTCATGAACTTTTTGCATCAAATCTCTCTTTTTCACGTAAGAAAACTGCAGAAACTGCTTTCATCGAGTGATTCCATGGCTTTTTAACATCATAATGTATCGGACTAGCATGCTTGAATCCTTTTTATTCAGTTCAGAGTGGTGCAGTGGCTCAGACTGCACAAGCTCACTGAGGGATTTAACTTAATAAAAAAATATAAAGGACATTTGCCTTGTTCATGTTGGATTAGCCAACAAGAAATACATCTATGATGAAAAACCAAATTTCCTTCTGTACTTCAAGATACCATTTTTGCTATTTATGGAACTGCTTGTATAACATAGAAAGAGAAGGATTATTCATTAAGGTTTATCTTTCATGTACTGCATGCATCATAACAATCTAATTATGTGGTTCTTTTTTTAATTTCACTGTTGCATATCCTACAGAGGCTGCACATCAGCTTCACAGAGATGGTCCACACAAAGAGGATCCATATTAGATTACAGCAAACATATATTTATACACTCATGTCAGACTGAAATTATTATTTGATGAATATGACAGGCTCTGTGAGCATGAGGAGTGTTGCCACTCATGAGGAAGTCAGTGCAGTGCAGCTTGCGCATTTTGATATTAAATAGTTGAATTATTAAACTTACTAAAAGTAAAACTGAAATAAATATAAAGTTGTATAGAATTATATAAAAACCAAAAATGAATAAAATTAAAAATATACAAATAAAAGCTAATTCAAAATATTGATACATAATAGTATAATTACTCAAATAACACTGCTAGGACTCTATAGTTTGGATGTAGACAGTGTAAAACAGTAGTTTTGGCTGGCGTGTAAGTGTGTGTTGTGGCTTGCATGCATATGCTGTGGCAGGATTAAGGGAAGAGGTTGTTTAATAGTTTTATGAAGCTGTGCGCTGATGCTGGATTTGAGCATTAACAATTTAATCTTCCAGTATGTGAATCTCATTTATTATGGGTGGCTAGAGAAAACAGGCCAAACCGAAAAAGCTTTCTTCTTGTGGAATCCATTTCTTGTCATTCCTCTCACCCACTTGTTATTATAACCCCCCCTCGTGCCTTCTTCTCCCCATCCGCTTGGCTACTCTTCTTGATAAGGGTGTCCCAATCTGTCTGAGCACTGAATGCCCATCCCACTCTCAAAGGAGCTGCACACACACTCTGGCAAACACACTTACCACACTGGCAGTCAGAGCACACACAGCTCCATTCACCAGTTATAAAACAAGAGCCACTTCCAGTTAAAGGACATAAAGCCCAGATCCGAGCTCCAGTATGGATGCGCTGAAGAAGGGATTCTCCATGGCTAAGGAGGGAGTGGTGGCCGCCGCCGAAAAAACCAAGGCAGGGGTGGAGGAGGCAGCTGCCAAAACCAAAGAAGGGGTCATGTACGTAGGTATGTACAAATTCAACTGAGGGGAGAAAACTGAGAGAATTAAAGTAAGAAAAGGCTTTTTGTATATCTATATTTTTCATTATATTTCTTCCTTTTTTCTTCAGTAAAGTGTAGTGGAAATATAAAGTCATTTAAAATGGTATGGTGTGCCATTTGCATAATTAAAAACAATGCCAATTACAAAAGCATATTTAAAGGCAATTTTATTGACAATTTAAATCTTTAATATAATTTAATGTAATATAATTCATTATGTAAACAAAAAAACGAAATATAAGAATTATTAGCCAATGATGATAAGAGTCCTGCAAATGAAAACCAGGGCAATGAAGATAAATGTAGAACATAAGCCCATTATTACATGTGACTGCTGTGCTTCGTCACTACAAGTAAGTGCAAGCGTTCAAGCGTTCAAAGCCTTAGATTCAGCTGAAAACAACACTGCTAAATAACTTACATGGTAAATAGTACCATGGTCCGGAGCGGCGGAGCGGTAGCTTTCTACACGTTTCTACTGTCAGTAATGGGTGGAGAATGAGTAGGGAGATAGAAAAAGATAAAGAAAGACAGAAGGGAAAAGACAAGAAGAAGAAAGGAAGCACTTTGTGTTTTCAATTTCAACTTCAGGATGCAATCAACCGATGAGCTGTCAGTGGCAGATACATTATGAAGAGAAAAGCCTGATTGAACTCCATTTATATTGCATATTAAAAGAATTTGTAAACTATATGATACAGTAGTTAACATTGTTGATGTCGATATTGTAGTCTGATTACAGTACATAAGTATGCCTAAATACGCTGAACCTCTTATTTTTTACATTGTAACTGCTATATTGTAGGACTAATTACATCGACTAATTACATCGACATGCAATATGGGTAACAATTAACAGTACAGTAAGGTAACTCTAAAATATTGCATCTTGTACATGACTTTTGGCACAAGCATTGTGTGTAATACATAATTTCTTCCTGGTTATGCTACTATGCTGACAGGAGCACACAGTACTGTAATCCCATTCCCTTCCGGTCCACTTCACATCCCGGTCCACAGAGACCAGGGTCTGCCCGGGTCAATACACAATCTTTAATGATTGTAATGGCTCTCAGTGTGTGTACACACCAGTAACAGGAGCCTGTCACTGTCTGCTTTCAGTGTTTAAGAGCATAACTTGTCCTCCACATCAGAGAAAGGAAAGAACAATGTGCTTACTATTACAAGGAGCTTTGACTTATGTTGGAAAGGAGGAGAAGGACAGTAAGGTAACTCTAAAATATTGCATCTTGTACATGACTTTTGGCACAAGCATTGTGTGTAATGCATAATTTCTTCCTGGTTATGCTACTATGCTGACAGGAGCACACAGTACTGTAATCCCATTCCCTTCCGGTCCACTTCACATCCCGGTCCACAGAGACCAGGGTCTGCCCGGGTCAATACACAATCTTTAATGATTGTAATGGCTCTCAGTGTGTGTACACACCAGTAACAGGAGCCTGTCACTGTCTGCTTTCAGTGTTTAAGAGCATAACTTGTCCTCCACATCAGAGAAAGGAAAGAACAATGTGCTTGCTATTACAAGGAGCTTTGACTTATGTTGGAAAGGAGGAGAAGGACGTGTGTGTGTGTGTGTGTGTGTGTGTGTGTGAGAGAGAGAGAGAGAGAGACAGGATGTGTGTTTGTGTGTGTTACAGCTAGAGGTACAAGCTTTCCTCTGCACCACACAGACGATCTACTTTAATCAGAGAAATCTCAAGCCTCTCAAAGAAAAGCGAGATCACTTTGCACTCTTTAGTGTTATTACTTGAACTTCGCAATAAATGTTTCTTTTTATTTTTCTGACAGGCGCAAAGACAAAGGAAGGTGTTGTGACAAGTGTAAACACAGGTAAAAGAATTAATAAAGAAACAGGTCTTAACTAAACAAAACACTCAACACTTTCTATGGAAAGTCTCAAATCAAAATATAAGGAGACTTCTTTTATCTGTCCTAGTTGCCCACAAAACAACTGAGCAGGCGAATCTTGTGAGTGAGACTGCCGTGGTTGGAGCCAATCAGGCGTCAGAAAAGGCGGTGGAGGGGCTGGAAAGTGTGGTCGCATCCACTGGCCTTGTCAAACCGGTAAGGATTCAATTTGCACAAGGCCAATAATTGGTCAAATTAACCAGAAAAAGTGTGTAAAAATTAAAACATTGGTGTTCAGTTGCATTGGCGTCTTTAGGTACACTATATTGTTATTTGGTCTTATCATTCAGTAAAACTGCAAATTGCTTAAAGGAATAGGTCACCCAAAAATTAAAATGACCCCATGATTTACTCACCCTCAAGCCATCTTAGGTGTATATAGGGCTGTCGCGGTGAGGGAATTTCCCTTGCGGTAATTTTGAGTGGCTCAATAGCGCGGTATGCGGTTTTACCGCCATAAATATACACACACATA